GCTTAGCAAAATTTCGTACGAGCAGATGATCTAAGCCTTTGCAATTTGTTCTTATTGGGATTGGCTACGTACATTTCTGCGATGGGGCGTCCAAGCCCTCCGTGACCCCAGATTGCATTGCGGGAGAACCCCACACGCAATGTACATCCCAAGTGGAACAGACTATACCTCTACCGTATCTCAGCAGAAGGCGCATCCGTGTAAGCTAGTATTATTTGTGACACTTGTTGATTGAGATCAGTTAAGAAAAGAATGTTTAGATGAATGATTGATGTTGATTTGCTGGTTTTGAATTTCTACTGTCTCCATTAACTGATCCAGTAGGAACTGAGAATTTTGCGATAATCATAACTTGCCTTATGAAAAGATATACAGCCAGTTGAGGTTCTCGTTTAATTTATATTTACAAAGTGTGATATTGCCTTAACCTAATTTTTTTTTATTTTAAGTTTATATCGGTAGTAGTAGTACTGGCAAAACGGCTAATGTTAGGATGGAGCAAGCGATACTAAACCGATCAGCCTGACAAACAACCGGTTAAAGTCTTTGATTATAGCTGTTTACACAATTTCCTTAATCCTTTGACTGATGTGCAGCCCAGCATAGTGTATGACGTCTTACTAATTGAGCTCAGCACCTTATAATTTAAAAATTTCCTTCTTTTATTACGTATAGTATACTAAAAAACGCGCAAAGTATTTTAGAACTGTGCGTTGTTAAATGTTGCGCTTAAGACTCTTGTCCAAAAGTTTTGAGAAATCAACACGGCTTTCCTGTGGAACCCAAAAGGAAGTGCTGCAATTGATTTCGGAAGTTTCGGTGGAGCTCTGCGGAACTGCCGAAGCTTTGTCTGAGATGCCTGCAAGACCTGAATCTGTTTCTTTGTAATGACCTTAGCAAGTTGAATTTGCGTAATGATCTGTCTACTGATATGCGAACTTTTCGCACTTCTTAATGAGTTTAATTCAGCCCATTCCTACCATAAAGGCCTCAAAATCGACGCAGTTGTTAATTGGAATTTGAGTAAATGAAATGAGCTCTCCACAGGGCTCATTTAGGCCTTTGAGGCATGGTTTTGTTAGAGCATCACGCATCACTAGTAGTTTCATTGATCATCATATTTGAATTAAATCAGTTCATAGGTATGAACTCAATTACTCACAATTCAAGCAGAGTCGTACTAGAATAAATGTGAATTTGTTTACTTTTAGAGCAGCTTACCAATCAGTATTTCTTTGCTGTATCGCTGTTCAATATCTGCATAAAATGTAGGTAAAATTAAAAACTTTTTTATCTGTAACTAATCACATACACTTATATCGTATCCTAAGATTTGGCCTTCTGCGCATCCGCACACTCACTTCTTTCTAAAATAAGGACTCCTCATTAATAAACAATTTGTGTTGCTTTTAACAATTTGCATCTCAAAGGTAGAGAAAAATTCTAGGAATCATATCCAAAGACGGTTTCAAACAAGCTAAGTCAGTGCACTAACTTTGATAATATTAATGAGCAATTTTTGGATTCATGTGTATCTTCTCAGCTTTCTTCTTCTGAGAGGAATGCGAGAATTCTCTCCGAAGTTGATCTCATAGGTCTCGGGTGCGAAGATCTTTTCTGTTTTTGGCACAATGATTTGCTTTGTTTCCTCAAGCGATTGTACGGCTAAGGGGTGGACAATGGGCTCTGCAAGGAGAAAATTTGAGAAAAACCTGAATAAGTTGCTTGTTAGCAAATTTACCATCTTCTGAAACTACTTCCTGTTCCAAAATAGGA